CTCTCTCTCTCTCTCTCTCTCTCTCTCGAATTGGCAATATTAGAGAAAAGGTGTTTAGGGATTTCTAATTATTGGGGGGACTAGCCCCCCTCAATGTCTACGGTGGTTATCGCCCTGATCAGACATGAACATATGTTGTGGCACTATCGTGCAGTTTATAATGATATGACGTTAGTTAGCAAATATTAGCGATTTTTTGCAAACATTTCTTTGAGTAACATGACCGTAAATATGAACTCACGACTGAATGTAACATAAAACAAATGATTACTTTTCGTTAAAATCTTTATTAATGCCAAAAATGCTTACATTTATTTGTCTTTTTGTTCGCTCGGGCAGCCATGTTGCCCCTGAAGCCGGTTTACGCTGAGATAATTCATACCCCTTCGTTTGAAGTGTGGTCCCGAAAAATCTTCATTTGAAGGGCTATCTAGCCCTTCCCCTACCCCTCCAACCAAAAGAGAATTGAGACACCCCTACCCCTTCACGTGAACGCGCGAAATGGAGGGTTAGGGGAAAGGGGAAGGGATAAAGGGGTAGAATTGGGATTGGGCCTAAGTCATAATCAAAGGAAGCCTCACAAAAGCCACTAAATGGGATTTTTGGTATACAGCAACATTCTCCAGAAATAAACAAATTGCTGGCAATTATCCAATAAGGATGTGTTGTAGTCTGTCCATCCATCCATCCATATGCTCTGGATGTATTTACAAAGGTTTTGCATATTTTTACAAAACAATTATAATTGCCACAATGCACTGAAATGCCATGAAAATTAGGTCAAAGCATCCCCTTCATATAAAAAATCTGAAGTTCTGTAAACAAACAAATCTGTTACCAGACAAATTAGTTTTAGTTGACTGTTTTTGACCCTTTTTTCCTTTTTCCTAAAATCTGTGGTTGTGTTTCACTAGGTATATTCAGGCTGGAAGTCGCTGTTAGCGGTGGACCGTTTGTCTTTGGCCGTTGGGAAAGGCGAGTGCTTTGGTTTACTGGGATTTAATGGAGCAGGGAAGACTACGACATTCAAAATGCTGACAGGAGATGAAAGCATAACTTCAGGAGATGCCTTTATTGACGGCTACAGTATCCTCCAGGATGTGAAAAAGGTTCAGTATTTTGTTATCTCATTGCTATTTCATGTAAAATAGTTCCTTAACTGGAAATTAATTTTTAGAGATGAGATATTTAGATTTGTTTAGTCCTAGTAGTTACAAGTAAATGGTTTAACACAGTATTAAATATGACTTTGCTTCAGGTGCAGCAGAGAATTGGCTACTGTCCCCAGTTTGATGCGGTGCTAGATCACATGACAGGGCGGGAAACCCTGAGCATGTATGCCAGACTGAGGGGCATCCCAGAGAAATATGTCACAGCCTGTGTAGAAAATGTCCTGCGTTCCCTGCTGCTCGAACCTCACGCTGACAAACTTGTCCGCAGCTTCAGGTATGAACATGACTTCTGAGAGAAAGTGGATAGATGGATGGATGATCAGTGGTTTGATGTGATTGATGGGTGGTTAGAAATGATGGCCAATTAGATTTGATGGTTATATGAGGGTTAGATATGATATATAGATGGTTAGATGGGATAAATGGATTGATAAATATGATACAAAGATGGTTAGATATGATTTATGAATGGTTAGATATGAAGGATGATTTGGTTTTATGGATAGATGAGTGTTATATATGATATATAGATGTTAGATGTGATGATGGATGGTTAGATACAATGGATGATAAAGTTTGATGTTAGTCTTGTTAGATAATGGTTAGATGTAATGAATAGATGTTTAAACATGATATGTGAATGTTATGATATGTGAATGATTAGTTAGTGGTTAGATATGATGAAAAATTAATGGTAAAGTATGATTGGTTAGATATGATTGGGTTAATAAATAAGATTCATGGGTGGTTAAATATGATTTATAGGTGGTTAGATATGATGATGAATGGATGGTAAATTATGATATATGGATGTTTACATATGATTCATGGTTTGTTACATATGATTCATGGGTGGTTAGATATGATGATGAATGGCTGGTGAAATATAATAAATGGATGGTTAGATATGATTCTTGGATGGTTATATATGATTAGTGGATAGTCATATATGATTAATGGATGGTTAGATATGATTCATGGGTGGTTAGATATGATTTGTTGATGTTAGATGATTTCTGGATGTTAGATATGATTGGTGGATATTTAGATATGATACATGGGTGATTAGAAATGATTAATGGATGTTAGATATGATTAATGGGTGATTAGATATGAGTCATGGATGTTAGATATGATTCGTGGATGGTTAGATATGATTAGTGGATGATTAGATATGATTCTTGGATAGTTGGATATGATTAGTGGATGGTTAGATATGATTTGTTGATGTTAGATATGATTGGTGGATCGTTAGATATGCTAAATGGGTGATTAGAAATGATTCATGGATGTTAGATATGATTAATGGGTGATTAGATATGAGTCATGGATGTTAGATATGATTCGTGGATGGTTAGATATGATTAGTGGATGGTTAGATATGATTTGTTGATGTTAGATATGATTGGTGGATCGTTAGATATGCTAAATGGGTGATTAGAAATGATTCATGGATGTTAGATATGATTAATGGGTGATTAGATATGAGTCATGGATGTTAGATATGATTCGTGGATGGTTAGATATGATTAGTGGATGGTTAGATATGATTTGTTGATGTTAGATATGATTGGTGGATCGTTAGATATGCTAAATGGGTGATTAGAAATGATTCATGGATGTTAGATATGATTAATGGGTGATTAAATATGATTCATGAATGTTAGATATGATTCGTGGATGGTTAGATATGATTTGTGGGTAGTTAGATATGATGTATGGATGATGTATGGTTAAATATGATGAATGGATAGCTACAGTGCCTTGCGAAAGTATTCATACTCCTTCATTTCTTTTCACATTTTGTTATGTTGCTGCCTTAAGTTAAACTGCTTTAAATTACTTTTTTGCCTCCCACATTAATCTACACTCCATACAAGATAATGACAAAGCAAAAACAGAACTGTCACAACTACGTAAATTTATTAAAAATAAAAACTGAAATAAGTACATTGCATAAGTATTCATTCACTAAATAGTATTCAGTATTCACTAAATATTTAGCTGAAGAACCTTAACAGCCTCAAGTCTTTTTGGGTATGATGCGACAAGCTTTGCACATCAGCATTTGGCAATTGTCTGCCATTCTTCACCTCTCAAGCTCTATCAGGTTTACGCTGAGATAATTCATACCCCTTGAATTATTAGGACAGATGCACATTTTTAGGTTTCTCCAGAAATATTTGATTGGGTTCAATCCCAGGCTGTGGCTGGGCCACTCAAGGACATTCACAAAGTTGTCTATAAGCCACTCTTGCTGTGTGTTAGGTTCATTGTCCTGTTGGAAGGTGAACCTTCTGCCCAGTCTGAGGTTCTGAATGCTCTGGACTGGGTTTTCATTAAGGCTATCTCTATATTTTGTTGCACTGAGCTTGTCTTCTACTCTGAAGGCCACTCCGACATAAAGCCCAGATCGGTGGAGTGCTGCAGTGATGTTTGTTCTTCTGTAGGTTTCTCCTGTCTCCACATATGATCAAGGAGCTCAAGTAGAGTGACCATCAGGTTCTTGGTCACCACACTAACCAAAGCCCATCTCCATCAATTGCTCAGTTGGGCCAGGAGGCCAGCTCTAGGAAGAGTCCTGGTTGTTTCAAACTTCTTCCATTAAGGGTAACAGAGACTACATGCTTCTGTGACCCTTCAATGAAGCAGAATTTATTTTTACTGAACTCTACCCCCGATGTGTGGCTTGACACAAACCTGTTTCTGAGCTCTACAGGCAGTTCTTTTGACCTCAGGGCTTGGTTTTTGCTCTGATATGCATTATCAGCTGTTAGACCTTTTATTAAGATGTGTGTGCCTTTCCAAATCATACCCATTCAATTGAATTTGCCACAGGTTAACTTCACTCGAAGTGTAGTAATATCTAGAAGCAATATGAATGCTCCTGGGCAAAATTTCAACTGTCCCAGATAAGGGTATGAATACTTATGCAATGGAATATTTTTAGTTTTTTATTTTTAATAAATTTGCAAAGATGTTAAAAAACAGTTTTTTGCTTTACCATTATGGTGTATGGAGTGTAGATTGATATGAGGGAAAAAAAGTAATTTAAAGCAGTTTAACACAACAAAACGTGAATACTTTCGCAAGGCACTGTAGATATGATACATGGATTATTAGATATGTTGAATTTATGGCTAAATATGATAGCTGGTTAGATTTGATATATAGATTGTGTTAGATATGATGGATGATTAGGTTTGATGGTTAGATGATGGTTTAATATCATGCATGGAATGTTAGATGTGATGGATTGATTTTTGGATAAATGCATGACTGAATATGATGGACTAGTTTATTGAAGTGTAGGGAAACAGATGCAGCAGGAACACTCAGAATGTCAGAAGTTCAATCATTGGTTTGTTATATGCTGTTAGCGTGTATTATACGTTGTCTATTGAATCCTACACAGTGGCGGCAATAAGAGGAAGTTGAGTGCAGGCATGGCTCTGATCGGTGGGCCGCCTGTGATCTTCCTGGACGAGCCGTCCACTGGCATGGATCCTGTGGCCAGACGGCTGCTGTGGGACGCAATTACACGGACCAGAGAGTCTGGCAAAGCCGTCATCATAACCTCACACAGGTGAGCCACACGTCACCTGACAAATGCAGATATGGACTGGAAGTGAAAAGAAGCATGCTGCATCAGAACAAACCGTTTCTCATTCTCTCTCTGCAGTATGGAGGAGTGTGAGGCGCTGTGCACCCGGCTGGCTGTCATGGTGAATGGCCAGTTCAAATGTCTGGGCAGCCCACAGCACCTGAAGAGCAAGTTTGGGAGCGGATACACACTGCTGGCGAAGGTCCGCGTGGAGACGGAGTTAGAGGAGATGGACCTTCAGCTCTTCAAAGACTTCATTGAAAGCACCTTCCCAGGTATCTAAATGATATGCTTTGTATTTCCGCTAGACTGTTTGCCGTTTTTTATAATTTTTACCTGATGGCTCTCACAGGAAGTTTACTGAAGGATGAACACCAGGGGATGGTCCACTATCACCTGACTGACAAAACTCTAACCTGGGCACAGGTACGTCTCAAACACATGCAGTGCAAACATTGTGATGTTTCAAATAGCATACTACTATTTCTGCAGTATGTACACTGCAAGCAGTATGCAAATGATCTGTATGTATATAATACACCCAGATAGACCAAATTGTGACTTTCCCATAATGCAAGGCACAGGACTTGATATTCCTTTTCCAGTGACAAATAAACAAGAATTGATCTTAGATGCATTTAAAATTATTTTTATTAATAAATAATAATTCAGTTTTAGTTATATTTTGGGTATTTTTACACACAATTAAATAATAAATGCACCATAAACGATTAAAATAATAGTTTAAAGGACACCATTCAGCTGTAATGTATATAGTTTCCTTACTATATTTGATCTAATACTGGTCATAATCCACTATGTATGCAGTACACTAGTTGTCTATTTCCAGTGTGACAGACACATTTTTTTTTAATTATTTAATACAATTTTATCAATTTGATTTCAATTTCAATTTTTGAAATTGAAAAAAAAAAAAACTGAAACATTTGTTGTTGCATACTGTTTCATAAGCTGTATTGTTATGCTAACCAGTAAACACTGTGTAATATGCAGTACACTAGTTAATTCTATTGATAACTAATTCTGAACATAACCAATATTTACACAAACATACTCTTTTTTTTAATTTTTTTTAGACTCACTATTTTGATTGACACAGATTTTTTTAAATCTAAAAATTTACTGAATTTACTTATGCTCATATTCAGTTCTGAACATAGCCATTATTTACTCATTATCTCATATAAAATGACAAGAGTTCACATTTTTACTTTCACTTTTGAACAAGCTAAAGAAGCATTTTAATGGATTTTAAATGCCGCTGAGATTGTTTCTGGTTCAGTTGTCACATGTGAAATGGAATGTCAAGTTGCATTGTAGAAAAATGCACAGTTCGCCAAATGTCTAATATGCACTTCTGTGCCTTTATGTCCCAGGTTTTTGGTGTTCTAGAAACAGCCAAAGAGAAGTACAGCATCGAGGACTACTGCGTCAGCCAGATCTCACTGGAGCAGGTGTTCCTCAGCTTCGCCCAGTTCCAGCACTGCGCCGAGGCCTGCAGGGAATGACACGCTCAAGCACTAAAGGAGCGGAGCTCCTCGATCTGACCTTTACCTGATGAGTAGGAGGTACAGCCTTGGCCGACTGACTCTCCATCAGACCACTGGACATTGCTCAGGTGTCTCTCTTCACATACACATCTCTGATATGATCATACGTACGTAGCACACACTTCCAGACTCAAACACTGCGTCGCACAGAGACAGGACCACTAACCAGAGGTCTCCGCCAGTAGGGTGTTTATTTCAAGTCTGTGTGTGCGTTTGCGAGCAGTTTGAGTTTCAGCGGGACATTCGTCACACCACCGGAAACAACTTTTGAATTATAATCTTTTGAATTATAATCGATTGGTCTAAGCACCAAAAAGGACGTTTGTTCATCATCTGTAAGTTGTAAGATTGCGGTGTTATTTATAAAAGTCTTTTTTAGTTTGTTTCTCCTCACCTGGTATCTGCTGTGGTCTCAATGCTGAAGGTACATGCGCTTCGCCCCTTTCCTGATAGCATATGCAAAATAAGGCCAGAAATATAGGAAAATGCGATGTCCAAAAACATGATTTTAAAGCTGCTTCTTTGGGATTTGCAATGTTGTAGAATATAACATTTACAAGAAAAGTTGCTGAATATGAATGTAAAAATTGTATAGAATAGCTTTAGGTCATTTATAGAATTTATACAATAGATTTATTCGCATTTATAGTTAGCTATTTGTTAGAAATCTAATGCATCTTCCAAAAAAAGTAAATCGTTCCAAGTAATACAATTCTTTCTTATGTATGTCAGAATAAAAGTCACTTAAAAATTTTTTTGTGCTGCTAAAAAAATCCCATAAAAAATATTCCTTAATTTTTTTTCAATGAGACCACAGATGTTTTAATGCTTTTCCCTCCACATTTCCAGTTATAATTTTTACCAGTGTGACATCTCTTCTCCAGATTGATGGAGGATTTTTGGGGCTTTGTGAAATTTCGCTGGTGACCACTAGAGAACGTACAGTGCACTTTTTTTATTTTTTATTTTTTACATCTGCCTCAAACTGAATGTGTCTTTAGATACGCTAAATCTCCGCTTGTGTGATTCTGTCACCGAGCAAAAACCACAAGCTTTTGTTTTTTGTTATGTTATCTTGCACTACTGATGTGGACCAATTCATGCAACTTCACAAAATCCATAAAAGAGTTCATAGAAACATGAAGTATCGCAATTCTGGAGGGTTTAACGTACGATTAGTTGTCTGTAAAATCATTTTTTTCCATTGAATGTCTTTAAGATCTTGTAATTCATGTTGATGAGGCTCAGTGACGCTCAGGTCATGCTGCTAATCTCATTTCTACATTGTTGATGCTAGATTTCCTCTTAGTCACTCACATCAGCGTGTCTTTGTTGAACATGATTCTACATCATTACGATGATTGAAACGAAAGCAGCATGGCTTCCCTTCCAGACCGTACTGACATCACTTTGACCACGTTTCCGTCCACGTTCATGCGAACTGAATGTACTTTCGTAGTGAAGGAAGAAAACGCGGGCTCAATCGAACACACTTGACGTACTGTAGATAAACGGGGCTTGACGGTGACTGACCACACATTGGTTCTTTTCTACGTTTTTGTCGTTGATTGGTCTGTTTTGCACAGTGCTCTGGCTGTCGTGTCTGAACTGCTTGTTTGAAATATTGCATTTTGAAAATCGAGAAGGCAAACTCGGGAATGTTAATGATGACAATGTTGGTTTAAAATGGTAAAATGTATACCATAATGCAAAAAGGGAATTTACATTGTAATCTTGTGTACTGTATTACTAAATGAACCTTGTGAGAAATGTAAGTATTTCCATTTCCTTTTTTTATTAAATCTGCCTTACGCAAAGGAATTGTGTTCTGTAGTCTTTTTCTTTTCATGTAGATTGTGTTTATTATCGTATGATCCCGTTCACACACTGATGACTACACTGTAAAAAATCACTTAAAGTGAATTTAACGGTAAAAGACTAAAAATGCTACAGTAAAAACCTGTTAAATGGTTAACGGTAAATTCCCCTACTATATACAGTGAAAAACTGTATTGGACATTACATGTATTGGACATTAATTTTACGGTAGTATACCGTTTTTTGGAAGTGAAAAAGACCGTATAATTTACAGTGAATAACCGTAAATTGACAGTCCCATAATTCCCTGCGTTGCTTTTCAAATTTGATGTTTTTTTGTTGAAATAACTGTTTTCTTATAAGTTTTGTATGTTAGGTTTGTGTGTTACACCTAATGTTGTTAAATGAATGTTTATTGCATCATTTCAGTTTCGTGTGTGTTCATGTGTGAAGACCGTATAATTTACAGTGAATAACCGTAAATTGACAGTCCCATAATTCCCTGCGTTGCTTTTCAAATTTGATGTTTTTTTGTTGAAATAACTGTTTTCTTATAAGTTTTGTATGTTAGGTTTGTGTGTTACACCTAATGTTGTTAAATGAATGTTTATTGCATCATTTCAGTTTCGTGTGTGTTCATGTGTGAGGATGGTGTTTAGTGTTTGTGTGAATGACACTGTGCACCTTCTATATATGTTATTATTTAAAAGCTGCTTGTGATGGGCTTTGGTTCATCATGTGACTTTAATAACCACCAAATGCAGGAGGTGATGAGAGTGGTTATTAAAGGTACAAAACAGATTTCAGTACTTCAATAGGTTGGTATATTAACATTATATCAGTTAATGAAATTACGGTATTTAACTGTAAATTTAAGTTAAAACCGTAAAACTTAAAACGTTGCTACCGTATTTTTTACGGTAAAATTCTGGCAACCACAGCTGCCATTTTTTTACCGTAAATTTTACGGAATTGTTTTTACAGTGTAATTTCTGCAATAATTAACAACTAAATCTAGCAACCCTAACCCAGATTATGTAATCTATTATGTAATCCAGATAAACCAGCTGTTGACAGTTACTAATTAACTTCAGTTCAGGAGTGTAAACTACTTGAATAATTGTATTATTATTATTATTATTATAAATGTATAAATACTAAATGACTTAACAGAACAGATGTTTTTGTTCATTCATCGAAAGTCAATAAACTCCATTGTTGTTTGTTCTTAAAAATTTTTTCAAGATATCATTTTTGTGTTACACAGAAGAAAGTCATGTTAATGAAATTACGGTATTTAACTGTAAATTTAAGTTAAAACCGTAAAACTTAAAACGTTGCTACCGTATTTTTTACGGTAAAATTCTGGCAACCACAGCTGCCATTTTTTTACCGTAAATTTTACGGAATTGTTTTTACAGTGTAATTTCTGCAATAATTAACAACTAAATCTAGCAACCCTAACCCAGATTATGTAATCTATTATGTAATCCAGATAAACCAGCTGTTGACAGTTACTAATTAACTTCAGTTCAGGAGTGTAAACTACTTGAATAATTGTATTATTATTATTATTATTATAAATGTATAAATACTAAATGACTTAACAGAACAGATGTTTTTGTTCATTCATCGAAAGTCAATAAACTCCATTGTTGTTTGTTCTTAAAAATTTTTTCAAGATATCATTTTTGTGTTACACAGAAGAAAGTCATGGAGAGAGAAAACTGAGTGAGAGAATGACTAAATGACTTTTTAGGTTAACTGGCCCTTTAAGTACCAATGACTCTTTTTTTTCCCCATTTATTGTTATTTTTCAAGGACAAACATATACATTCGTTCAAGATTAAACTTCACATATTACACAGTTTAATATCCTTAATTCCTAAAAAGGGGTAATTAAACACTGGTTAAAGTTGCACCGATTACATGAAACACGTCAAGCATATATATATACACATACAACCTACTATTTGTAATTCTATGCTCTGATCATTTTATACTTTCAATTATTAGCAACGATTGTCAAACGACATCTTGTCTCTTTCCTTGGAATGCGGGGGAAAAGGGGCGAGTCCCTCGATCACGTACAGGTCAGCTCTGGGCATCTGCTGGAGAATCTCCTGCGGGACAGGGAGCTATAAAATTGTCTCTTTTGTTGATCGGAGTTTAGCAATTTATGCGTCCACTGGTCATGAGGGTATTTCTATCTGCTCTTTGCAAGCCCGTAAAACAATTTTAAGCACCGTTAAAGTACTGTCCTTTTTAGCTTATCTTGAGATATAGCCAAACAGTCCAGGGAATGCTTCACCTTACTTGATAGAGCATGAGTTTTACGACTGCAGATGGCTGGGGAGACGAACCTCAAAAACCCTCCATGGAATGTGCGGGTTTGATGTGTGTGTCTCCATCATGTAGGTGGGTCTGTTGTGAGACAGATCCTACACTTGGAAGAAAAGGTATAAAGTAACTGGGTCGGTACCCTAAGGTTCAGAAGCTAAAAGATAAATCTTTGTATCTTAATTATCTCTAAATGCTACATATTAGTGCCTTAAAGGTATATTAGCATATTTCCAAAGGGAATCACCCCAGTTACTGTGTGCGTGTGTGTGTGTGTGTGCGTGCGTGCGCGCGCGCGCGCGTGTGTGTGTGCGTGTGTGTGTGTGTGTTTGGCTGGTGACAGAAAGCAAGAGAGAGAGAGAGAGAGAGAGAGAATGTGGGTTTGTAGTTGACAAACTGATTATCTGTTTCATGGCAGTTTCACGTCACAACAGATTTGTGTGTTGTTTATGTTAATCAGGTATGAATATAAGAGAATCTATGGGGTATTGTCAAGAGGAAAATGAGAAACAAGAGACCAAAAAATGCAGATGAGCTGAAGGACGCTATCAAAGAAACCTGGGCTTCCATACCACCTCAGCAGTGCCACAAACTGATCACCTCCATGCCACGCCGAATTGAGGCAGTAATTAAAGCAAAAGGAGCCCGTATTGAGTACATGTACAGTAAATTAACATACTTTCCAGAAGGCCAACAATTCACTAAAAAAATTTTTTTTATTGGTCTTATGAAGTATTCTAGTTTGTTGAGATAGTGAATTGGTGGGTTTTTGTTAAATGTGAGCCAAAATCATCACAATTAAAAGAACCAAAGACTTAAACTACTTCAGTCTGTGTGCATTGAATTTATTTAATACACAAGTTTCACAATTTGAGTTGAATTACTGAAACAAATGAACTTTTCCACGACATTCTAATTTATTGAGATGCACCTGTAATTCCACTATTTAATGCCATTATTCATCTTGAGCTTTTGTGTTCTCAGACCTGTTAGCACTCGTGCGTAAGAATGAAAACATGACATGTTACGGCCTCCGTGTTCCTGTCAACCCCTGACACAGTTAGCAATAAAAGCTAATTATTCTCAGACAGGTGAAGGTTCAGCCATGGGAAAGGAGGACAGATGTCAATGTTTCTTTCACTACAGCGGCAACAAAAGGTATTTAAGGTCACTTATAAATGTGTGAACTTGTGCTTCACAATCTTTTCTCTTCACTAACTTTTCGTCATAAAAATGTCTTTGAATCAGCTGTTTTTTTATTTTTGTATATATATATATATATATATATTTAAGTAGTAGATGAACCACAGGTGGAGTTCATCACATGATCTATCAACATGATCCACTAATGTTTTGATATACTGCAGTACAGAGATGATATAGAAGTGTGTTGCTCAATGTTTAATTATCTTCGGTCTGATCTGATCTACATTGAAACAGCTGTGTAATATAGTGATGAAGCATTACTTTTGAATCATTTGGCCGTCAATATATCAGGCCAAATAAACAGTGAAACTGACCCTCAGCCTGCTGAGAATGAACCATTTATAGTAGCTTTTATTGCCATTTATAGTAGCTAGATACAGTTGGTTAATGTTTGTTTGAGAGCCAGTAGCTGAACATCAGAACAGTGCAAAATGATTAACACAACAGGCAGAACAGGAAACGTGTTACATTGTCCTTATAGTTTGAGTATTTGGTTTGTAAATATCTTTGATTATAATTCACTGCACAAAACTGTGGAATCTTGTTTCCACCACATTTAAAAAAAATTTTAAAAAGGTAATTGTGACTTTATTTATTTCACAATATAGACTTTTTCATTCACAATTCTGACTTTTTCCCCCCCTCAGAATTGCAAGTAAAAATGTATGCTTTGAGAAAAAAAGTCTCCTAATTGCAAGATATAAAATTGAGAAAAAAAGAGAGAATTGTGAGATATAAACTCAGAATTGCGAAGGGAAAAAAAAGTCAGAATTCGGATTTTATATCTTGCTATTCTGATTTATTTGTTTAGTATACACATGCACTGTAGTTTTGTTTGTCAATTTAAATCCTTAATCTCTTTAAATCAGGATAAATTCTGATTTGCTGTGTTTTTATAATCAGTTCAACAGCTGCAAAAAAATGTTCTGAAACGGATTCCAACAACATTGTTCCTCTCAGGGTGTCCGCGGGTCCTTAAAAAGTCTTAAAATGTCTTAAATAACGTTTTCCTAATATAAGGCCTTAAAAAGTCTTAAAAAGTCTTAAATTCGGATTCGATGGGTCTTAATTATTTTTGGTCTCATTACCGCTTAATTTTATTAAGAGACTTACGTTTTAGACACCATATTGCCTGTTTTTGCACTATTTCGCCAACAAAAATAATTCCAAACAAAGCCACAGCGCTGTTTTGCGTCTTTGAACAACACGACGGTGTTTCGTTCCCGAATGAATCAACCGTTTAAATGATTCGGTTCAGTCGCAATGACTCACTTATTAACAGTGGCTTGCTGCCACCTACTGGTGGTTTTAATTTCACATTTAAAGTATCTTTTCATTTTTTAAATTATTTCAAATATCAGTATTCAATGTTTTATGTTTAATATATCAAAACATTATTTCTGCATTTGTAACTGCAGGTTAAATGCATTCATGTTCTGCATTAAACAGGGTGTAAACACATCTAAATGCCACT